AACATTAAAAATGGATAAATGTCACCTCTATCACATCTACTTTACATGACCTCTTTTCTCTCTGGATAACATCTATTTGTTCTGAAGCAGAGGATTTTCTTTGGGCTTTTACAGCTGCGTGCATTATTTATAGTTTATAGGAAATACATATGAAACAACTTGGGTAAAATACAACTAGTTCATTTGTGTTTCTTCTCTGATAAGTATTGTGAATTAGTCTGTGTATTTTTTGAAGCTAAAAAAGTCATCTTTCAAGGCACAATAGTAAATGCAGGAGCACTGTGACCATAGCTATGATTTCCTATTTAGTTACTTCAACTTGAAACTTTTTTGGTCTTTCGGTGACAGGTGTTTGTGAAGTCTGTCTGCTTTCCTAAATACTGAATTAGTGTGTTCATTACTTGTTTTTTAATGGTAATAATTACTTCATTTATGCTTTTCTGATGTACACTTGAATGTCCAATCAGTCTCTTGAGCAGTCTCATTATCATTAGACTGATTAGAATTAAATTGTTTGAAATAACTTTTTGCCCTTCCTCTCTCAAAATCCATTCCATCTAGTGACTATAGTGCCAAAAAACAACTTGGCAGTATCTAATTAATTACTGTTTAATTTGTGACATCATGCATGTTGATCAAGTCATATTTATGAAGCTCAAAAACATGCAATAAAAATTGAACAGTTTCCCCTGTTAAACTGAATAGCATAGCGCTTTCTGCACTTTTTCTTGTAGGCCACAAAGACTAAATATTTGTCAATCACTAATGGATATAGTATGTCTAGGTTCAAAGAAATGCCTAACTGAAAATTTTTTTGCCACTTGTGCTTGAATTTGACATTGTTACAAGTGTCTGCTACATAAAACATTAGTAATAATTGTGAGCCTCCAATGTGAACTTTCAAATCATAGCTTTTATTCTAACTTCTTTGTTGTCTTAGAGGCATGTGAGATGCACTATTTCTACTATGTGGCTTTTGGTTTTTCAGATTTTTGTGTGGCTTTTGGTTTTTCAGATTTTTGTGAAGGAAATTCAAGTCAAACTGCTTTCCCCCATTTATTTCCTCGTTCCTTTCCAATCATTTAATCATTTTTACTTTTCCTAACCCAGGTGACTTTTACCAATCATTTAACTAACTCTTAGGATTTTTCTGCACTATGTTGTCTAATATGCTTAGTGTCGAAAGCATAAAATCTAGCAGGAAGTTTACAGAAGCATCTTTAAGCAGGTTTGTGAAGTACCCACATGGACTGTCCAGGAGATTAAGGTCAACTGATAGTTACATAAGAAACTCTTTGTACTCCTTTATTTAGGATAATCTAAATTTAATAATACTTGTAGATCTGAGTTATGAGATAAAGAACTAATGACACAGGTAGTCTCTTGTCTGTTAAGGCTGAGTAGGCCTTAATTTCAAAGATCCTCAAAAAGTAAAACTGGTTATTCAAAATAGCTAAACACATAGTGTCAGAGCACCAGGACAGCTGACTTAGAGAGGTGTTAGAGTTTTTTCAGACAGCATCATGAAAATCACAAACTGGGAGCACAAAGCCAAGGCAAGAGCCTAGTGGAGTTGACTGTCTTGTAGGAGAGTAAGCAGCTTTTTGATATACATTCAAATGTGGGGGTTGTTTAACTTATGGGTAGCTATAGATTTACCTTTTTTGTTCTGTCACCTTTTTACGGACTCAGACACAATCTTTTTTTAAGCAAATGTGTGTTCTGCCAGACATTGCTGTCATGGCAAATGGAGTTTGGTGTGGAAGAAGTACAGATGAAAGAGTCCAGTTTTGTCATTGTTCAGTCCAGTTCTTATCTTCAGGCAATACAACTACTTATTCATTAAATACTGAAGTTCCTCTAAAACATCCTAAGTGGTAGCTGATTTGGTTTAAATCTAGCTTCTCCTCCTTTTATCTTGAAAGCAAATGTTTGGACTTTGAGGAATGAGGAAAAAACTGCACAGAAGGAGAACTAGTTTGAGTTACCATGGCCAGTTGCCTCTAATTCTATTTGAGTAAAAATTGTGCATGGTGGAGGTGGTGGTCTCTCTGTCTGAAATCCACAATAAGATGAGACTTCTCTTTAGTAGTTGCTGCCATAGTGATACTTGAATAAGTGATGTTCTTGTCACTTAGAAATGCAGTTCTTCCTTGTAACCCACTTAGTATTTTCCCACCACCTGTCAGACATAGCTGGGAATAAGATATCCAGTGGGGTGTTTGGAATAGCTGCTTCCACTGCATTTTATTAATGCTTGTCTGAATTTTCTGGAGCTCAGCCATCTGTCTGTGAACTGACAAACCACTTAACAAGAGGTTAATATAAGCAGGTAGATGTAAATCTGGTTCCTCAAACACTGATTCCAGAAATCAGCTTTGATGTACAATTATTTGCATTGCTTGTTCAAAGTCAACATTTATCTTTCTTGTGTGCTGTTGAAGATGGTGATTTTTGGCTCTCAATTATTGCTAATGTTTAATTAAACCACTAATCTTCAGGCAAAATTTTAATGTTTAAGTTGTGCATTTTCTTAACCTTTCTAAATAAATGAGGATTTTAGAGAACACTGGAATTTTAGGTGATAACCTGAGTAAAACAAAACTGAAGTAAATAGAATCCCATTTACAGATTCACTGAGGGTGAAAAGAACTTCTGGAGATAATAGAGTAATTTTGTGTTTCTCAAGCAGATTTTCCTTCAGCAAGTTGCTCAGGTCCATATCCATTTAGGCTCTTGAGGATCTCCAGGAATGGAGACTTTACAGCCCCTCAGGTTGTCTGTTTCAGTGTTCTGCCATTCTCACAGTGAAAGCTTTTCTTTAATTGTAAAATCATAGAATAAAACTCCATGAAGTATTTCAGACTTGTTCTGAATAAATTACTGTGTTCTTTGGTGCACCTTCCAAGGCTAGTGTCCTAATATTTATCAAATTCAACTAATAGAGTGTCTCCAAAAGAATGGTCATGAATTGAATCCTTTGTAACAGCTAGGTAAGCTCTTTATCTGTAGCAGTTTGGGTGTTCTTTATATGAAAAGCAAAACACATCAACAGAGAGGCACAGGAGAAATAATTTTTTCCCATCTTTTTCTGTTAGATATGGAATTAGTATTGTATTGGGAACATCCTGTATGAAATACCTTTCTTTCACTTTGAGATTTTAACATCTTTTAAAGTTGTCATTTAAGAGGGCTCCTCAGGAGATTAAGAACAAAGTATCTGAAATCAGCATTTCTGTATTAGTAGATAACGCATCACATAAAATGAATGTACAAAAAGAAAGATTCCTGTTTTCTAAGATGCTGTTGGGAAGAGTTTCTGCAGACAGTGCAGACACAGTGGGAGTGATGGAGGTGACAGGTACAGAAATTGCTCTACTGTAATCAAACTAATGAGTAAAAAGGCTTCTAGGATTAGAAATGTAGCAGCATCTAGGCAGAGCTGTAAATGAATAGATAAATGCTTTTGGGTGTTTCCATATGGTTTGTTACAGAAACATGACAACTGCTGAGGCTAAAGGCATGATGATCATGGAGTCTAACCTCCTGCTCAGAACAGGGTTTTCTAGAGCAGGTGCTCAGTCTTCTGTCTTGTTGGGGTTTGGATTCTCTGTTAATGTGTGTATTAACCTGTTCACAGATCCATCTAGACAATTTATGTTTGCCTGAGGTGCTTTGAGGAGGAGATATGAGGTAATGCAAGTAGCTTTGGGGAGTGGGGTGGTGGTGTCCTCTGACCTTTGGTGCCATGGTAGGCATAATAGGTGCAAAATTGTAAATGTCAGTGATGGCATTACTAACTAATGGCTAGTTAGTAAACCCTCTTATGGTATTTAATTAAATGCAAAATTTCCTGCTGTTTTTTGCATTACATACTTTTAAATGCATACTGTATAGATACCATACAAGAATTTGATAAAGCATGAATTCTATTATATCTTTTTTGGACAATGAATGAATATGCCATTTGTGCTTTATGTAATGTTGTGTATCCAAGCTAATCATTCTAACTAGCATTTTGTGAATTAGGTATGTTGGATGCTTGCATATGGCTTGTTGACAATTTTATTTTATCTTGTTTGGTGTCTTAAACCCAAAAATTTCAAACCAACAAACAAAACCACCTCCGTGTATGGGAGTGTTTCTGGAAAGATTTATGCTAATAAAGGATAGTATTCTTGCTAAGTATATCTTTTCACTATGTTAAAATTTTCCACCTATTTGCATTCTTATGCACTGAAAGTACTTCTAAAGTAGGATGCTAGTTAGGGATAGTGTACTGTAGGTTTTGAAGCTGTCAAAAGAGGACTACTGCTTAACTCGAGTGTTTAGTAAGTGTTTAGGCAAAATTAATGATTAGAAAAGGGGCTGTTGTTTAGAGAAAAGAACTAATGAAAAATGCTTTATGTCCATCTGTCATCTGATTTTCCAGCACGAAAAATAATACTGCGCCTTTGGCTGATATTTATTTCTTGATCAGAATGTTGGAACAAAATGAGCCTTTAAACTCCTTGTTACTGAAAGGCTCTATGTGGTGTATGAATAACATCTGTAAATTTTTTTGGCTTCTTATTTGGCTCAAATTCTGACATTGAGTGACTTTCAAATGTACTTCATTTTCAGGCAGTCCAGAATTTTGCCACTATACTTCTGTTCTATAAAAAAGTTTAAGAGTAAGTAGTGGGTTCCTGATGTCACTTTAAACTTGATGCTTCTGCACATTCTCTAGTGTCAAACAGATCATAATGGACTTCTGAACCTACTCTTAGTAGGTTCAGTAGGCATATCAGTTTTTAAGTCTTGCATTAAATTTGAATGTAGTAATTTTTATGTTGATCACAACAACAGAGGAAGGTACTTGAAGGTACACTAGAGTGGGAGTTGTTCTTCAATATAAGCAATATTTGATCAGTGTGTGTCTGTAGGTTATAAGTAATTAGCTATTCATTGTGTGGCACTGCAGTACTAATGATGTAAAACACTTTTATGTTTTTAATTAGGACAGAGCTTGGGTTATGGTTTTGTGAACTACGTTGACCCCAAGGATGCTGAAAAAGCTATCAATACCCTGAATGGATTGAGACTTCAAACTAAGACTATAAAGGTATGTAGGGTTAAAATAATTTAAAGAAACTGAGCTGTTTTTACTTCCTGATTTGTTTTACAGGTGCAACAAGCATTCAGCCAATGTCAGTAGAATAAACAAGGATTTCATGTAGTAAATGGTTCTTTGTAGTGTTCATATTTAGAGTTAGATTAGGTATAGAAAATTACATTTTCCTAACCAGCTTAACACTTCATATGTACAGTTGAATTGCTTTAACTGCAGAATTGTTATATACCTTAGTTGAAGAAATGCAATATTGTATGTTGTTTGAATACTGTCTGCTTCCTCATTTTCTGAAAGATGGTCAAACTTCCTTAATAATACTTCAAGTTTTATGGTGCTACTTGTTCCTTTTATAAATCCTTACAATGAAATGCTGAAATAACTGTTGGTTATCTATTAATTACTCTATTTCTAGGGCTCTGGTCTTTACATCTCTAATGTTTGGTATTCCAAATTCTTTTTCATTTATGTTACAACTCCTTACACACTTGTTTACTAAATTCAGTTTCTAAAATTTATAGAAACAAATCTTAAGAGTTACTTTTCTCATCTCCTTTTTTAATCCAGTAACAGAAGACCGAAGATACTCATTTGAGCAATTGAGCTCTGAAATTCTGAGGGAGTAGATTAAATAAAATTGTCAGGAAATGCAGACTTTTGAATGTGTTTCACAGGTGTTGGTGCCTGAAGGCGCAGTGTATGTTCCAACTAGCTCATTCTTCCTCAGTAAACAGCAGTATTTGCTATCTAATCACTTGGGCAGTGGCTCCCTTCTAACTAGAAGTATGTTTGAGACATGAAATAAAGTTCCCCTCTGAAAACATTTGTGCTTAAAAAGCAGTATAGAGCACTGAAAGACAGTTGAAAAAAAAAATAAAACACCAGTATTGGCCAAAGTGTCCTACCTGTAGTGTATTCATAAGATTTAATAAAGTGGATTATACTATTTGAAACTTAAATACTGCTTTGTAAAAAATGGGGGCTCATGGCACACAAGTACAGTAGATGAAAGATGTGGACAGATGCTTATCTGCTGAAAGCTCGCTGTGTGTTTCTGGCAGATGTCTTTTCCTCAGTCCTCTCTCATTTTCTACTTTAGGGGAAAATTGAGCAAATTAGTTTTGTGCTCTGGGGCTTTTGAAGCTGTGTTTTGTGTGGTTATGAGAAAGGGAATCTGTTTGTATTCTGGTAGTATTGTTTGGTGTGTAATGCCTTGGATTGGGCCAACATTACTTGTATGTCCAGGATGATTCATGGAAGTTCTGTTGACTATGTAGGCAAAAAAAAAGGAGGTGATTAGAGGAGATCAAGCCAGGTCTCCCAAATAAAAATGTTCCCTTCAAGGGAGTTGTGGTAACTTACTCCATGCTGGCCATATTTGAATTTTTAATCCTCCTTCGCCTTGCTAAGTGAGTAATTTATTTTCACATTTAATAAAAAAGGTGAAAATGGAGCAGTGGGACTAAACTCAGTTGTTCGTACATTAGATATCTTCAGCTAAAGCAGAGCTGAAACTCTGGAGTTGTCATAAGCCAAAATGATAGCCTCTTTGCTAAAATAAAGAAAATCTCTGTTTAATTAGAGAAAAATATCTTTAAATGGTGATTGTTAATGTTTTCAGTAAATTCTGGCTCTAGTTACTAGTCCGGTCTGTTGAACTTCAGCAACACCTTTCAGTGTTAGTGGGCATGATTTGAGTGCAAAAACTGCTTTACTCCTTTATTTACTCCTCTTCCTTCTTGGACGTGGGGTTTCAGGCCAAGTTTTTTGTGATAGATTTTCCAAGATCACAGAATCATAGGATGTTAAGGGGTTGGAATGGACCTTAAAGCTCATCTGGTCACAACCTCATTGCATTTATCTGTGAAGCAACAGAAGTGCCCAGCCTACGGTGAGGCGTTTTGTCGCCCTCAGATCGGCCAGGGAGCAATGGTGAGCAAAAGGTCAGGTTGATGTCCGAGGTGTTTTCTGCCTCTGGAGGAAGGTCTTGGCTGAAGGAAGTCTCTTATGAGGTCTCAATCAAAGGGCCTTTGCAGAGGTTACTTCCTCTTTATAGACCAAGTGTTCCTGTTTGTCCTGAGTTGGTAAGTCAATGACAAAAACAAAAATCCAACAAACAAAAAAACCCCTCCCCCTTCCAAAAAAACCCCAAACCAAGCAAAAACAAAACCCCAGCCTGTATGATAAACTCAGAATCTAACCCATAACTTTCAGCTTTAAAAAATGTAACTCAGATGTTTATGTATACCTTCATATGAAAAATCATTGAATAGGAGTTCTAGTGTATATTTAGGTTTCAAAAGAAAAAAATTAGGGGTTTGTGCTCTCTGTGCATTTTTGGGACTTCTACAGGAATGCTTAGTACTTTACTAGATTGATGGTTCAAGTTTGTTCCCCATTAGTATATAAAACTGGAAGCAACTTTGCTGGTTCAGTCACAGTGTGATGTATCCTCACATTGTGACTGAACTCAGTGTAACCCTACTGAGAGGAAGCTGACTGTCCTGACCCTGATGTGTGGTGCACTGGATTGGGGTTGTGACAGATGCCTCTGATCCACAGCTTTTCTCCTAGCCTGCATGTCATTGGGATATATTTTTTCTCATCCCTAAGGGCATGCCTCTTAGTACTTTGTTGAAATAAAATGCATTGAAAAATGTGGGTTTGCAAAATGCTGGATTATGGGTTGGGTTTTTTAATATTGATAGGAACACAAAGTCCTATTACCTCTTCCCCTTTTAAAAGAAGACCCTGTGGAATGCTTCATGGAATATTTTACTGAATTTTTTGCAAAATATCTCAACCAATTTTCAGGTGTATAACTCCAAAGCAAGGATTAGCAGTCTTAGTGTTGTCTAACCTGGTGGCTGTTGTATTGCTTTCTGATTTAACTGAATATTAAAGGTGGGTGTATACTCGGCTGGTGAATCCACTTAGGGGTGTGTTAGATATATGAACCCTATCCAGCTAGATGATATGCATCCATTATTATACAGTGCCCTTTATTGCATAATTTGTGGTTTATTTGCACTGTAAACAGGCTTGTGTGTACTGCACATAGCCTGTGAAGTTTGGGTTTCACTAAGTTATGCAACTTTAGTGTGGAAACAATCTCATCTTATAAAAGGTAAAATATTTTCTGTTTTGGAAGATTATGCTGCTGTTAAATTTATCTCTGTTCTATTTAAGAGACAGTAAAAACATGGGGTTTTATGTCTGGGGTGATTTTTCTTCTTACCTTCTTGCTTGTCCGTGACTTTTTTTTCATTTAGGTTCATTCTGGAAAGATCAGTTCTTCCCAAATGTGGAAAACTCAGAGAAACAAACTGGTTATAAGAGTCACTGATTTACACATAGGGTTAAGAAAATTGAGTGCATGTTCTTTTTTCTTGGCTTTTGCTTGGGAGATGAGAAGTGCTCCATGGCTTCCTCTTCCCTTCGTTAGGGTTTTTTTTTAACGAAAAAACTCCTGAAAAGAAAAAAGATCCAAGTAAATTTATTGTGAGATTATCTGAACAGAAATATCTTTCAATGTGAAGTAAAAGAGTTATGCATTAACAAGAGAGTGTTTTAAGATTCACTGTCTAAAAAGGAGTAGGAAAACAAAAGGCCCCTCTGGACTGTCTGAGAGACATGTGGGGTGATGAGTGGGAGGCAGCTTTTTATGTAGACAGGAAGACACAGGACAATATTTCTTCATGGATGTTAGGCTGCCTTAATGATGGACACAGTCCTTTGTGGATTGTAGCTGCCAGGGGGACCCTGAAGATGACAGTAATGCTGTGCTCATTCCTCCCTTTTGAGTGCTTGAAGTGGCAGAACCCCTGCATGCACGACCTGGCGTGTCTCTTAATACAGAATGCTGATGAGACGTGTGTAGACATGTATGCAAGTGTGTGGAAAAGGGGGAAAAATAGTTTGTCCAGGCTAGAGGCCTTAGAGTTGTCTTTTTCTATAAGACAGCATTTATAAGTTGGATGTATTCTACTTAGCATAAAGCTGCGTAAAAGTAAAATTTAATAAGGTTTTCCTTCTCTGAAGTTGTTTGGATTATTGAGATGTTTACATGGGTAATTATTACCTGTCAGGGGAATAGGAATTTAGGAATATTTTATCTAAAGATTTAAATCGGTAGGTTTTCTTCCCACTCCTTTATAGCTCTGCATGTAGTAAAAAAAAAAAAAAAAAAAAAAACAAAAAACAGGCCTAATGTGTGACATTCTTCCAATTTCCTATTGGAATGAATTTGACAAATTCTTTGGCTATAAACACAAGATGTCCTATTTTGCCATCAGCACCCAATTGACTGCCCTACTGTAGAAAGTTGTGTGATGAGAAGAGCTACTTAAAACTTCAGTAGAAGGGCGAATACTAAGTGTTCAGCTTTACAAATACTCAAAAAAGTGCTGTATATAGCAAGGAAGGACTTGAAGTGAGGGCTGTGCTGCGAGTTCATTAGTGTTCTTCGAGTCATTGTCATTAATTCTTGGCATTATGCAATGTGATTTCACTTGGTGTTTGAACTACTACTAAGATTTACAAGAAGATTAATTGTAAAGGAATTATCCTCTAACTTAACTGTTCAGTTGCTGTACCCTTAAGAAATTTTACCAAGGATAGTACTCTTGAAAACTCTTCAAACACTTAATGGAAAATAGCAAAATACTGAAAAAAAGAGATGCTAGTGTGATTTCTGAGTTCAGTGCAACAGATAAAAGCTATTGAGATTGTTCCTGTCTTCACCACTGATACATGCAGAGAAAAATTTTTGTAGTGTCCCTTTTTTGTAGTAATTCTTTGATTAACTAATGCCCTTGGGTAGCAATGAAGTATGCACGAGTTGTGTAAAATCTCTATTAAAATATCAGAGGAGAGTGAGCTGTGAAGGTGAGAGAATTAAGATCCACTAGTATTAAAGAACACTGATCTAACGTTCTAAGGATTCGATCTAAGGAGCAAAAGGGAATCCTGTGTGGAAGTTTAAATCTAGTGAGTTTCACTGATGTTTTCAGTCAGCAAAGGCTGAGAGAGGCTCTGATGCCAGAACATTTAGCAGTCTTGACGGAGTAATTAAATACCTCAGGACTGTATTCTTAAGGTCAAATTGCACTCTGCTAGCAGACCTGAAACAGAACAATTTGTCTTGGAAGAAATCTAAAGGTGGGGTTTTTTTTCCCTTAAATTTCTGCAAGAGTTACATAAATTAAAATTATGCAATCTTTTAGCTATGTTAAAAGTTAAAGTTTTGAGAGCATTTTGATTTTAATACTATACACACACACATCTTTTCACTTCCAGGTAAAATTTGTTCTTTGCTGAAATTCAAATCTCCTCAGACTTTGAGTGTTACCCACCTTAAGCTGGCTGCTTGTTTTTCACATAGCTGAATAATATTGAGAGGAGAATTCAGTTCTTAGTGCATGTTGCTGTCACTTGCTGTAAACCACATTATGGGCAGGTGGTTGATTGTCCATTCACTCAGAGCGCTAGGCCAGACCATAAGATGTGCTGTCCTCATGGTTAGCAATGACAGTTTTCCTGTTTGAGCCCCAGGTTCCATGTTGCTGCTGATTAGAATATCTTGTAAGGGTCCGTCCCTGTTTCTCTGAGGGGAGAATCCTTGGGCCAGTGCAGCCCACCCTAAGGCTGTTGCACAGCTCTGCAGCCAGAACACTTCAGCGGTTCAGTAAGGTCTTTCCTGAGTTGCTTAGGCAATTCCTGACACAGAAATGGAGATGTTAGAAGGGGCCAACAGTACTGTGTAAAGTTGATGGAAGTCTGCAAGCATTGCTCAGAAGCCAAGTCTTATGCAAGTAAAAACAAGCAAAGAAAACAAACCCCAAAAACTAAAAAGCCAACAAAAACCTGCTTGTTACTACTAAGATTGATGCTGCGTCTTTGCGTCCTACCCTCCCCATGCTTTGCAAAGTACTCTAAGAAGGTTGTGGTTTTCTGCATGGATTCAAAATGCTGTAAATGCCAGGCATGGAGATCTGTTACAGTCTGTTGTTTTGAGGGGTATTTCTCCTTTGTTTGGCTGGGATTTCTAAATTATTGTTAATTTATTTTGTTTTAAATCCAGTATCTGTCTTCTTTGTAAGAGGGTTTTTATTAATGTAAAACATGTTTATGCTTACTTTTGAGATTATGGTAGTCTTGAGACAAATAGACCTCTGTTAATCTAGCGGCTTTCAAGCTTTTTTGTCATATTAAATGTTGACTCTGTTATCTGTCATTCATGCACTAATAGTTTTTCCAGAGGGGTTATAAGATATTTCAGTGAACTGTAAGTTGAATGGATGTGTTTTGTGCATTTCTAGATGTGTCTGTGGAATAGTGCAAGAGATGCCCAAGTGTTGTGTTTGTCAGAGTCTCTGTCAGTAGTAGAAGCTTCTTAGGTATAACCTGAGGTTTAGTCATTTCCTTCAGGAGAATAATTGAGGTCTTGTGTTTAAGATTCTATTCCTGTTTATATTATTCATGTGGAGGGCTTAATATTATACTCTGTACTCCTGTTCTCCTTGAAAGGTAACTGCTTTTTTTTATTCCTAGTGCATCTGAAATTCCTGTGCTCTTATTGTTTGGGCATGAGTAGGGATCAGAACTACAAATGTGAAGTAGAGGAAAGGTCTTTTGAGACTCTTAAGAATATGATAAATAGGAAATGTTTGGAGAATTGATCTCTTTTCAGTTCATATATTTTATTTGTACCTAAATTCTAAGTTGAGTATTTCCTATTTTTAGCAAGATAGTGATAGTTGCAGACTGCAAGTTTTAAAGTGCTCTTCTGTACTAGTCCTTCTAAGGGCAAAACAGAATCGCTATTCTGTGAATGTAGTGCATAATTCCCATATCATATTTTATAGCAGTGAACTTGATACTTGTTTTTCTTTTATCAGATGCTTATGACTCTGATTTAAAACTGCTGCAGTATCTTGATACTTCTGGGAAAACTTCTGCTTCTGTTTCCATCAGTGGCAGGATTTTCAGCTGGTTGCTGTTCTTAGCACATACATACATACATTTGCTTCCAACTAAGTGGATTTTTGGGTGTAAGTCACTTTAGACCGAATCTTCTGAAAGCCTGTTTTCTGGTCTTCCTCTGTGCTGCGTACAGCAGCATTTCATGAGGGCTTCCTCTTTGAGCAGTGTCCTGTCCTTAATTGGTTATATATCCTGAGGAAGACTTCTCATGCTAGTTCCCTCAAATATATAAAGACTGGTCTTTAGTCTAAATTTGTCAGGTTGGTCCATTCATGGCCTCATCTAAGTGGCAACAGATGTGGATCCCATGACCCACCTCAGGCCTGTGACTCTGGCGTGGGTTGTAGCTGTCAGAGCTGGAACACTTTGAGGGGTGAACTAAAACAGGGAAACTCGGATGATAATGCTAAAAGACTGTTGCTCCAGTGTCTTTTTTTTCAATGCATTCCTTATTGTACAGCAGGCTGTAAAATCAGGACCTTTATGAGATATAGTTGTGTTTATCAGCTTAATCTACGCCTGTAAATGAGCTGTGTTGAGGTCTTTTAGTTCCACAGAGGCGGATGTAAGTTGCCTTTACAAGGGCAGTCTGGGTTTCCAGTTTGTGCTGTCCACAGAAGTGTGTGACTGCAGGCTTCCACCATGAACTCAGCAAGTGCATGTTCAGTAACGTAGTCTTGTGTATTAGGAAAAGTGGCCTTGGAATTTTGTTTGGAGTGGAACAATCCTTATTTGAGGGGAGACAGGAGGTGAACTTGATGAATATACAGCAATGTACTCTCCTGTTTCGGGCAACAGCCTGTCACTGACTAGTGAGAGCTGAGACCTCATCTTTGTGGTATGCTGCCACATCTTCTTACTAGAAATCCAATTAAGAAGAGTTCTTGAATCGTGGTATTGCATACAAATTTAAGTGCAAGTTGAGAACACTTGCCTGGCACAATGAGAACATTGCTGAAAGAAAGAGCAGTATGTCCTTGTTTTTACTGTGCTTGCTGAGGATGCATACCTGTTCCTAATGTACCCCCTTTCTCAATATAAATCTGTCTGCTTTGGAGGTAGGTTTTTAACTCATTTTCATATGGACATACTGGATGGTAGTTTTTTGTTGGGGGTTTTTTCCCCACAGAAACATGTATTCTAAAAGAACTGGACACTACTCTTAAGGACAAGTTGTGTTTTAAGCAGAAAGATTGCACTTGAGCTAGTGAATGTGAATATTTACTGAAATACTGATTTTAGCATTTAGAGATTTCAGATTTAAAGATTTAGAAGACTACATTAAGTAGAGGTGTTTAGGAAAAATCATATTAAATTCATTAGTTTTTGAGAGAATACAAATAGTTTGTACTAATAATACTACTACTCTACTAATAATAAGATAAAAGAGCTTGAAGCATGGTACTGAGGTGTCAATAGGTAGTAGCAGATTATAAGAAAACTATATAATTTTTTTATAACTTCTTTGTTTAACCTGCTTTCACAATTTTCACTTGAAAATTGTGAATCAGTTCATCCTGTTGTTAGGAAATTAAGTATTAAAGCAGTGAAAATACTTAGATTTAGTGATGTAATATTTGCAGTTCTAGAAACAAGTGTCTTTCCTATTAACTGCAGTGGAAAATTTCTGTAAAACTGTTTTTAAATTGGTATCTCCAGAGTAGTGCTGTTCAATATTGTAAAGTGTGTGTCATCATTCAATATTTAAAACTGGAGGCTTTCAGGCTGTTTCTTAACTTGCCTTGTGTTCAGAGGTTTTGACATTATGTAATTGAAATGTTCACCAATTGAATTAGATGTGGAATGAAAATCTTGGCACAGTTTTTAATTCGGTCCATATAAAAGTTGTTTAAAGAGACTAAATACAGAGCTATCAGCAAGCAATTACTGAATGAGCAAACTGACAGGATATAGGTAGGGAGATTAGTCTGGAGAGTCTGTGCTTTAAGTGTGTATCACAAGTGAAATGACTGGGCTTTGATGTCAAAAATGAAGAGGGCTATACTCTAGGCAAGGTTCTTTTAATAGGAATTTTATACCAGTAATATTTTGTAGTGTCCTTGGTTTTCACTAGTCCTGCTGACTTAAATTGCATTGTATTTCTGAAGTTACATGTTTCTTTCAGATTTTTTGCCTGACCAGTACTTCTGGGGCTTAGCAAGATGATTAAATATAGTGTACAGATATTGGTGGTGAACCACAGATTTTGGTTTAATCTTTGTTATTACTGTGACTAGTGTGCCCAAATTCAGTGTGTTGGAGTAGTCACTTGAAGGTAATAACAGTGAAGCTGGATATGTAGGAGTAGGGTATACTGGTTAGAGTATTGCTTCCATTTACCTGCACTCAGTGTAGGCTTTGACTGCTATGTTAAACAGTTTGAACTGTTTTAACCAGAGAGGGCATGGGTTATACTGGACCAGCTGTCATAATGCAAGAGCTCATACTGTCTTACCAGAGGAAAATGAAAGAGTTTTGCAAAAGCTGCTTTGTATCTTGACAGGTACCAGTTCTGTAGCATAAGATAAACTTGCAGTAAATTAGCAAATATTTTGTGCAGGTTTCTTCTTTTCTGATAGATTCTTTGTAAATTTATATTTTTATATGTGGCAGCATGTGTCCGGCAGTGTGAGTTTCCCCTTGAAAGACAGTGTCTGCATGGGTTTGGTAATTCATTATTTTACTAGGACTAGTCCTGTTCCCCAGGCAGTCTGTCTCCATTCCTTGGCCTTGAGTCTCCTTAAAATCCTGCCAAGGGAGGCATGGAAGTTTATTTCTTAAAGAAGCTCAGGGCTAAATGGGCAAGTAAAGCAAGTTTATTCATTCCAAAAGGGTAGCTGTCACTGTCTTTGTTCCTTCATTGGCTGAATGCTGGCACACTTTACTCTGTTTTCCTGTAACTTTGATCATAGGTCTTTAGCTTTTGTGTGGCTCTCATGTGGAAAGAACAAGGCAGTGTGACTTGCAAGGTTCCATGCTGGATAGCTGCAAGTTTTCGAGGTCAGTCCTCCTCAACCAGCACAAAGGTACCTTGCACAAAGCCTCTGGGTGGAACTTGAAGGATCGCAGCAGTGCTCAGGGTGCTGCTTATTTCATCTCCAGCGTGCTGTCTTCTGTTTTGCTTCCATAGCAGTCTTAAGAGTCTGCTGGTCTGTGCAGAAATGAGACAGGAAGGATTTGAAAATAAATGTCAAAGAATTAGTCAAAAGGAATGACAGAATCAAGTTCCAGTTGCCCAGTATTGACTAACAGTACATGAAGGGTGAGGGAAGGAAAGGAGAATAATCTGACTACTTCTTGAGGATCCTTTTTACTTTTATGTTTGACATAGGTGAAAAGCCTAGATGAAGTGTTGGAGAACTTCTCCTGTTGGAGAAACACAGATGTTCTGTCCTAATCATTCTTGTAGTAACACCACTTGTACAAACTTCATTAGGAAGTAGTGGAAGTGCTGTTTTGTAGCATGTGTCTAAAGGTCAAAGAATCTACTTAATCACCTTAAAATATTTTGACTGACATGTCAAGGCAGCAGGTAAAAAACTTCTGTCCAAAAGGATCCAAGAATTTCCTATAAATGGCATTTGTTTTTAAGGCCTCTGTTGCAGAAATTGAGAAGGTGCTGAGCAGGCAAAATACAGGTTGGAGTCCTCCTTCTGCCATTCATTCTCAGGCCTGTGAAAGTGATCTAGCAGAGTTCATCTCATAAATGATTATGAGTCATTTGGTAGCAAGCTCGACATGTACAAAAGACACAGCACTTTAAAAATACTTGCAAACCTCTAAGTGCTTCAGACTGTCTTTCTGTGCCTTTGGCCTACATATCACACTGAAATCTTAATTCCTGGTATGTTTTACTGCTTTTTAATGAGACTTCATGGAACATGGGGCATGGAACTTCTTAAATTTGTCGCTTTAGTCATATGCTTTCTCCACCAAGACCTGCTGGAATATGTACCTAGCTTTCTCTCATTTATTTGGAAGTACTTTTTATATATGAATTCATGTAGTCAGCTGCTCCTGTGTAGTCTAAGTTGCATTCCTTCCATGTTTTGGAAGCTTGCTCCCAAAAAAAACCTCCCAAAACCAAAAAAAACCCCACTGAACTGGCTTTGCAAAGTAACTGTTCTGTCTGCTGTTGTAGATGGTTTTATGTCTCAGAACAGATAACACTGTCCTATTTTAGGTGGTTTTAAAGTGTTTGTTTTCCAGGATTTTTTTATGGTTTTTTTTTTTTTT